TATTTACACACACACACACACACACACGAGAGACAGAGACAGAGACAGAGAGAGAGAGAGAAAGAGAGAGAGAGATCCTTGCCTTTAGTTTTGTTACCTTATTTTTGCATAAGTGACAACAGAATATCAGAAAGATTGAGCAACTTGCCCAAGATCACACAGCTAAGTATAGATGCAAGTATGATCCAAATGTAGAACTCTTCTCATTAAAAGACTACTATAGTTTTACCTCTATGTCTATTTTTCTTACCTGCTTAGAAAATTAAGGGTTTTTTTTTCTATTTTCTTGAAAAAAGAATGGTTTGTCTTATCTGTAAGAAATAGTCTTCATATTTACCTGACAAGGAAGACACAATGATCAAGAAGGTGATCTTCCCAGGACTAGACTCATCCATTACACTCCAGATGTGCTGACTCCTGTGATTTCCCCAATGTGGGAAACTCAACTGCATCATTTGGGGTAGTGGGGGACTGTTTTGGCACTCTTCCCAGTTAGGATAAATAAGAAGAGTCTTCTTTCATAAAACAAGGAAGTTATTATAAATAATAATATACACTATAACTGAAAGCCTCCATTGACAAAAAAAAAATACCTAAAAGACAGTATATACATGAAATGGAGTAAAATTCAGCCTTAGTAAAGAAGGAATTTTAATAGCATGGGTATATACTGAGGGCATTATGCTAAGTAAAGTAAGCTAGTCACAGAAAGACAAACACTGCATCATTCAACTTACATGAATTGCCTAAAACAGTCTCATCCACAGGATAGAAGAGTAAAAGGCAGTTGTCAGGGAATGGGGGAATGGGATACAAAACGCTACTAGTCAACAAATGTATTGTTTCAGTCAAGCAAGATGAATATCTTATGTGGCCATTTTGTAACACAAAAATATTTATTTTTATTGTATTTATCTAATCAAAATAGTTTTGCTTCCTTACAAGAAACATATTCAAAGGTAGTCAGATACAGCTGGCAAGCAGCAGAGATGTCAGAGGCAACTTGGATCACTAGGGAGAAGGGAGCAAGTTTGCTTGCTTCTAAGCATTTGAACTCAAAAATTATCTAAAAAATTGACCTAATTCTGCACTTTGGATCCCAGAAGATTAAGAAATTTTCCAGAAACTCACAGGAAATAACAGTTGTCTTAAGTGAAATTTGGGATCTTTACATCATGGATTCCACTTAGTTTAAATAAAACAAATTAAAAAACCTTTTTTACTTGGGAAGAAAATGACTCGTTTATTTAGGTTTTAAAGGCTCAGGAACAAATATTTTCCCCATTAAGGAAAAGACATTCTTTCCAGCAACCCAAACCTCTTTCTTCTAAACTGTGCAAAGTAGATTTCAAGCAACTGCTAAGATCTGGATGGATAAATAACTAACTGGTCCTGGAACCCTGGAGCCATGCGATCAAGCAAGATGGGCACCTGGTACAGGAGATGATAAAAAGGAACAAACGACAATAACTTCAGAGTTTAATGAAGCCCAAAACTAGTTGTTTCTCCTCGGCTCAGTATTCCCAAATGTGAAACTGGGATAACAGTGGCATTTACTTTACAGAACTATCTTCAAGTTTATAGAGTGAATGTATGTAACTCTGTAGTGTATTTTGGAAAGTTCAGAGACACACAACCTATATATGAATATGAGTTATTAGAGCTATTTCTATACTATCAGAACCAGAAGTGTAACTTTAAAAGGTGTAAGCACAGAGAGGGGTAGCTGTAAGCCCTGGTAAGTAGAGCAACTTCTAATCATAATAGTTATCACTTAGTTTAGAAAACAGCATCATATCTAGAACTATTGTGCTGCCTTTAGATTGCAAACAATTTATGTCCGTGTTCTTTACTGCAGTTATAAATCACTTATATTACATGCTCTCAAGAAAAAAAATAGTCCTGATCTTTACAGATTTATTGAATGGTAAATTAGAAGGGACTTTAGAGGTCATAAAATCTAACCCTATTGTATTACAAATAAGTAACGGTTTGACAGAGAGGAAGTGATTTTCCAAAGATCACTTAATTAATCACCCACCACAGCCTGAAGTATGATCCAGGTCTGCTGGCACTCAGTCCTTCAAATTTCCAATCATGGTCTTTCTCCTTACAAGAATTCCCTCTCATTTTGAACAAACATAATAAAATGATACAGAAAATGGATTAACTCAAATCAACCAATATTTAAAATGCACTATATACTATGGCCAGAAGGAAATATAAAATTAATAAAATGTGCTTACTGCTCTGTTTGTGCTAGTGTAACTCCAGCAAGAGTAATAAGGAACTTTATATTGAGTGATCACAGATGACTATGACAAATCAATCAATAAAAATCATCAAGAAAGGTACAAACAACATATCACATCATGTGCACATCAAAGGGGAGAAATATTAAATTGGGTTGATGGTCAAGAATGACATTTTGTTTTACTAAAAACAAAAAAGGCACCAGTACCATTTCATTTAGTAGAAGATACCAGCCTGGGGACTCCTTAGGTCAAAATAATATATAATTGAATCATATATATACATACATACATACACACACACATATATATATACACACACATGTGTGTGTCACATCTACAAAACTGTAAGCACATAAGTTGAGCCCCTGTGTTCTTACAGTATTTCTGAGCTCTCTTATTTACTTTGTTAATTATTCTCCTATTTGTTTTTAATGTATTCAAAGTATAGCAAGCAAATACTCTCTCCCTTATAGTAAAATACCCTTTCCTTTATAAGAATAAGAGCTTTATAAACTTTATTGACAGAACATGAGCCAAGTAGAAGAATTAAATGATGTGAATCAGAATCATGTATCTAGGGCTGGGAAGTATGGCTCAGTGGGTAAAAGCACTTATACAACCATCAGAACCTGAGTTCAAATCCCCTGCACCCATGTAAAAACTCAGGCATAGCCACACACACCTATAACCCCAGCACTGGGGGTAGAGGGATAAAGACAGAAAGATTGCCTGAGCTTGCTGGCCAGCCATCTCAGTTAAAAAAGAACATCCCCAGGTTCAGTGAGAGACCCTGCCTTAAGGGACTAAAGCAGAGAGTGATAAAGACAGTTGATACCATCCTCTGACCCGCATGCATACACCACACACAGCATATGTATATACTACACACAGACACAAGCAAACAGAGAGAGAGAGAGAGAGAGAGAGAGAGAGAGAGAGAGAGAGAGAGAGAGAGATTGAGATTGTTGATGAGGTTGTTGGTATAATACATGCCTAGCATTGGTAAGGGCCTGGGTTTCATATTCAGCACACAGCACACACATACACACAAAAGTCACATAATTATCTTTTTACTTCAACACCTCTCCTGCATACGGTTCCAAATGGCAGCATCTTATACTAGCAGAAGCTGCTGTCAGAAACAAAAGTCTGCAAGTAAACTCAAAGGCAAAGAGGGGCAAGATGTGGAATGACTGAGTACCGAATGCCTGCTGTATGCAAAGCAAAGAATTCAAAAAAACTAGGATTGCCTCACAGTTGTGAACTTGAAGGAAAAAACAAACTACACTATGCCGCAGACAGTGTGACACTTACTCATTTGTTCATAGAAATGTTACGCTACATTATAATTGCACAACTACCATGGAAATGAATAACTCCTTTGTATGCTAAATTTGTAAGATTACACTTTTCATATATGCATTTTAGAAATTCATAAGCTTTCTTTTTGCTGCAGTCTAAGGAGAAACTCCAGCTTTGTTTAAACAAAAATCTATGACAATGCCAAAATTAATTTTCTTTCTAGATTGGATGAGTGGTATCACATAATTTTATGATCAGAAATATTTTATATGTTTAATATTCATTTAGTTTATCTTTATCAGTGTATTAAAACATGGGGAAAACAAATGAGAAAAAAAAGTTACTGCCTGATTAACAAAATTTAAGAGCCAATTCTGAGTAATTCTCAATTGCCAACAGACACTTGACCCAGACTATAGCAGGTTGTGAGGGTCGACTCCTTACCTGGAGAAAGGAGGACAATGGAACAGGGAGAAGAAGCTGGAGACGCTCTGAAAAAATGGTTTTCTAAGTACAGGGTTAACACATTTTATACCTTTGAATTTTCTTTATTTTCTTTTTTACTTCCATTTTTTGTCAGTAGATTTCCTTTGGAAAGTTCCGGCCTGTGTCTACTTTATAAAAATAAACTGGAAGAAGATGTTTATTTTATTAACATTGGGACCACACATAAAGACAAAGTGGCAGCCTCTGGGGACTCTTGCTGGCAGACAAGAATGAGGGTCGCCATAACACAACAAAAATGGAGAAGTGTCAGGTTGCTACTGCCTCGGGAAAGCCTTTCTTTACTCATTTCTGACATATTTGTTGTATCTGTTTGATTTGCAACAGTAATTTTGTTAAAAGGACACACATCCCTTAAAGTTTAAGTATCTAACACTCTAAAACTATTGCTCTCCAGAAGTATATATGTGAAACTAGTGACCAAAACCAATAAGTACTATTATAGGTCCAGGGGTCTAGTTCAAGCTCCATTAAGCCATTCTTCTTTTAAACAACATTGTGCTCCAAGCAAATTAGGAAAATTTTGTTTAATATTCTAACTCCTATTCCTAGCAAACTAAGTCCTTGGATGAGAATTTCCAAATTATTCCCTCTTTGAACTTTATAATTAAATCTTTATAGAGAAAATGTGTTTTCACAGAAAAAATTATTTTAAAACGTTATGTTCATCTTTAGATGCAAAAGCTGAACACATACATCAGCAAACATCTGTGACCACTCCTGGTTCCTATTCCAAGTCTCCCTCCCCTTGGAAATGTAAAAAAGGATGAAGGAAAAACAAGGAGCCATGGAAGCCAATGGGCAGCCCTAAATCTGTCAGTATAGCTTTGATGTGCCATCACACTCTGGACCTGTACTTAAGGCTGCTAAGTTCCCATGACCCTTCCGGACTGCTCTTGAGGTCGGTCACTAACTTCTTTTTGTAATCTATGGTTTCAGCTTGGGCGTACTCTGACGGTCCAACGTAAGAACAGTGGCCCCAATACGAAGGAAACGTTGTGAAGGTACTGCAGTGCCATAAAGAGGTACGGCTCCAGTTTCAGAATGAACCCAGTTTGTTCAATTTGCAATTTTCTTAAGTAACATTCTTCATCATCTGCATTGAAATAAAGTCGACACCATTTGTGCTTACTGCTTCCTTTCATTAATGAAGTCATAATTCCTTTGCTTTGTGCTAAGGTGGCTTTTACTAGACTTATGACAAGCAACTCCAAACAACTGAGTTATTACTCCTCAGCACCCACTTCCTTCCCCAACTGTGAGCTGTTTGAAGGCAGGACTGGGTTCTTAAGAAATCATAGGCTTCCAAAGGAACTCTCTGTATCCATCTCCTAGGGGTCACATCATTAGGAAAATCAGTAAATTATGCTAAACCTAATTAAGTGCTGTTCAGAATTTTGTCATTATATATGAAATGACTACTTTACACTAAATGATCTCTACCCCTTTAAAATACAGTCCTTGTTTGAAAATTCTATAATTTTCTTTTTATGGCTTAATATAAATAATTGGTTTGATTTGTGTGTAAAGAAAGAATCAAACCTGACTACTGAAATTTACAAGGAAATTTATTCTGTTTCAAAGAGCTCTGCTGGTTATGAATAGAACTAGATGGCATTCATTTCTTTGTGTACTTTTCATTGTTATTTATCAGCTCTATTTGGCATCTTTTGTTCAAGCAGTTGAGAATTTCAAATTTATTTGCAATGAGCAATGGATGAAGAAATAATTTGTATATCAACAGTGTGGGTATTTTTAACCCTTAAAATTAAGCTTTATAATTTAGAATCTTAGTACTTTAGGAAGCAATTTGTCTACATCAGCATCTTTAGTGTTTAAGGTTGAAAAGACTTTCAATTATAGTGCAATGAGACTGTCACTCTAAGTGGTTTCAAATGGATAATTATACTTTCAAATGGTAAGGTTTCTATCATTCCAATTGACACTGAGCATTTATGAACAAAGAAGATGAATAACTGGTCCTGTATAAGGCACTGCCTTATTTATAAACCAGAGAGTCTGGAAGGGAAGATAACACAGCACTGATGTGCAAATCAGACTGAAAATTCTCTAGGAGTTCTATAAGGATAGAAATTTCTTTGGATGACAATGAGAGAAGGCATAGTTTAAAGGGCGCAATTCAGTCTGGACAATATAGGACGGAAATGAGGTGGTGGATGTGGTTTTGATTTGTTCTGTATATTGGTTTTGAGCCAAGGTCTCCCTATGTGATCCAAGCTGATCTCAAATCCACCATCTTCCTGCCTCAGCGTTTCAAGTGCTGGGTTACAGAAATGTACCACCAAGGTGGGCTTGAGGTGGAGCTGTTAACTAACCTACTTCTTAGTGGCAGTCATTTCACAGTACATACAGATGTCAATCATCATTCAGGAAGTGATAGTAATCATTTCATGGTGACAATATAAGATCGTGTTGTATATCATATTATAGACACATATTTAAAAGCATGCTACATTGATTTCTCAAATACTGTGAATAAAAGTAAAAAGGGGAAAGCTATATCAAAAATCCCAATAGCACCATCTAGTGCCTCATAGCATAAAACGGCTCAGTTTGAAGAAAATACCTAAAACAGTATCAACAAAAAAGATTGGGTTAATTTGGGGAAGTTTCCCTTCCTTTACCTGAATTCACAGAACCAATAGGAAAAGAAACCTGGAGCACAAATTGAAAACTAATGCAGGCATTAGGAATGGTGGGCTGGTTTTTCCTCTATAGCCTTAGAATTATTCCTCTTCATTTTTAAAAAATCTTACATCAATAGTTCTTGGTGAAAATGGAATTTTTCAATGCTAAAAAAAATATAAATAGCTGGAATGACAAGCTGAATGGATGACACATCACGAACAGCAGATGAAACTGTTCCTGGTTGGAAACATGGCAAGTTGTCCCACCCGCAACAACTGCCAGAGCTGTCTGTATCCATATCCCCGCTATGTGGACAAGGTCCATTCTATTCCACACTAGTAGCACTTGAATTCTTGAGCATTCTTCCAGACAGCTTGTTTACCAGGGACCATGAGCTATAGAAAAGTCAACAAATCAATAAGAGACTAAGTATTGAATTGCTTCCACTTTGATAAGTAAAAGGATCTGCAGAACACTGAAGAAATGACTATATCTATGCTATCTCATTCCTAGCTGTTTCTAATCAGAAGTTGTTAGCTTCTGGAATGAATTTGGATAGACCAAATAATCTTTTGCTATGAAAGAACTGTGTATGACTAAGCTCAAAGCTTTGAGTACAAGTCTGAGAAAGGAATGGGAATGAACAACAACACAATTTCCTCACCCAACAAGTACATCCTGACCACCTAGGCCATATCTTTCCCAAGAGCCTTAAATTATGGTACAGATTTTTCAACTATAAATTTCACCTCTCTGAAACTTTTTTCTCATCGTTATTGTAACTTTGTGGCCACTAGGTTTCTCCTGCTGTGGTGTTCTATGGTTCTAAACAGAGTTAATCCCAGATTAAGAATCTCTCCTACAGGAGTGAGTTTCACCAACATGAATTAGATCATTTTCCCTGGGTATGACCTGCATCCACAAGATGTTACATAGTTCTCTTTTAGGGGAAAGCAAGTATTTTTGTACCAATTTTAGCTGCTAACTGAACTTAAAGCTCTTATAAAGCAATACATTAATAATTAGATGATGATTATTATAAATACATATTTACACACTCATATATATATATACTAGTATATTTTTCTGTAAGTGAAAAATCATAAATTCATTTGAAGGGAAATTTTATGGAATAGTGCTAGAGCAGTACATCTACAATATGAGGGGGATATCTTACCTAGGTCTTGGGGATTAAGAATTCTCTCAGGGAAAAAAAAATGGATGTGAGAGGAGGAAAAAAGTTTTCTTCATGTCTGGAGGACCCAGACCTTCCTCTTGGGGTCAAAGTTCAAGTGACTCCCTCCTCATAATGTGACAACAATTGCTTCCAGCTGTGGTGGATGTGCATGTGAGCAGCACTAATTGGACTCAGTGGGTTATTTTTAAAAAGGAGAGAAACAGAGAACATGAAGTTGGGAGGAAGACGTGCTGGAAGGGGCTTGGAGGGTGAGGTGGAGGCCAGGCATGATCAAAACACACATTGTGTACATGTATGAATATGTATTTTCAAAGAATAATAAAAATCTATTAAATATTTTAATTACACATAAAAAGTATAGTGACACTATGAAGTGAATTGACGTGCACTACAATTTAAAGATCCAGTTTAATTGATAAGATCTTTTTCATATGTTGTAGGCACCAGGCAAACATTCCTGGATAACATGGATGGAGCTGAAAACCTGACAGTATCTTCTGCCAGTAATAACACATGCCATGGCACGATCGATGAGTTCCGCAATCAAGTGTACTCCACAATGTACTCTATGATCTCTGTTGTGGGTTTCTTTGGCAATAGCTTTGTGCTCTATGTCCTCATAAAAACGTATCATGAGAAATCAGCCTTCCAAGTATACATGATTAATCTAGCCATAGCAGATCTACTGTGTGTATGTACATTGCCTCTCCGTGTGGTCTATTATGTTCACAAAGGCAAGTGGCTCTTTGGTGATTTTTTGTGCCGCCTCAGCACCTATGCCTTGTATGTTAACCTCTATTGTAGCATCTTATTTATGACAGCCATGAGCTTTTTCCGGTGTGTTGCAATTGTTTTTCCAGTCCAGAACATTAATTTGGTTACACAGAAAAAGGCCAGGTTTGTGTGTATTGGAATTTGGATTTTTGTGATTTTGATTAGTTCTCCATTTTTAATGGTTAAATCGTACCAAGATGAGAGGAACAATACTAAATGCTTTGAGCCTCCACAGGACAATCAAGCTAAAAAATCTGTTTTGGTCTTGCACTATGTGTCATTATTCCTTGGCTTCATCATCCCTTTTATCATCATAATTGTCTGTTACACAATGATCATTCTGACCTTACTAAAAAATTCAATGAAGAAAAACCTGCCAAGTCGTAGAAAGGCTATAGGAATGATCATAGTTGTGACAGCTGCCTTTTTAATTAGCTTCATGCCGTATCATATTCAACGAACTATCCACCTTCACTTTTTAAACAGTGAAACTAGACCCTGTGATTCTGTTCTGAGGATGCAGAAGTCAGTGGTCATAACCTTATCTCTAGCTGCATCGAATTGCTGCTTTGACCCTCTCCTATATTTCTTTTCAGGCGGAAACTTTAGGAGAAGACTATCTACATTTAGAAAGCATTCTTTGTCCAGTATGACTTACATACCCAAGAAGAAAGCTTCCTTGCCAGAGAAAGGAGAAGAAATATGTAAAGAATAATTCAAACCCATCTCAAGTGCAGAACAACAAAAATAATTTCCCTAACAAGTATTTTTCTAAATCACAATTTTAAAAGTTTTCCATTATAACTTATAAATTATTAAATATATCTCATTTATAAATCCTATCATTTGATATTCTAATTGTTCAAAATTCAGTTTATCACTGTGAACTAACCCATAGATTTTTTTTTTACTATTCCCCAGAAGGTGGAAAATATTTGTGGTTCTGAACTATAAAACTGAATATGAAATCAAGATTTTTCCTCTTCAAATAAAAGGGGTTACAAAGGATATGAACTAGAATTTTGAGTCTAGCTTTCAAATATAGCTTTAAAATTAGCAAATAGTCATTAGTCATCCTAACATATCCCTTTACATGCATGCCATCCGATGAGACCTGGAGATGACCCAGAAGCTACAGAATTGTACGGTCAGTCTATTCCTTTGTAGCACTGACTAGTGAGGCAAAGTAGAGCCCTATCTTCCAGAAGAGAATGTTCAAGTGCTAGGACAGACCAGTATTCAGCTAAATAGGTCTATAGGCCGCCTGCAGTTTACAATCTGGAAACTAAAGAAGATAAGTATGATCAAAAGCCAGCTTGTCTCCAATCCTCTTCTACCCTTGCTTGACTCAAGCCCCCAATGTTTTTCTTGCTCATTGAGGTTCCTATTAGGAATTCAATCCCAACCCAATATAGTCCTTCCTCAATGAGTTAGACAACTGGCTTTCCCATATATGAGCAAAAACAATTAAAATTCATCTGAAAGAAGGCTACCTTTCTACATGAGTTTTATTGTAATCAAAATTTACTATATAAGATACCAGAAGAAAAATTTGAATATCAGTCATTCTCTTAAGAAGTGCATTTATGTATATGTATATAAATACATGTAATCTATCTTGTTCTATGATACGCATTTATAGCTAGTTAATTATTAGATTTATTGCTGTTTTATACTTTCTGCTTTTTTATTAGCACGTTGAAAGTAATATCACTTATTTGCAGTAATTTTTATATTATAGCGGAAGCTTTGTTCTTAAAACAAACCATTGGAAACAGCTTGATTGTGACTAAAATATGATATTCATTGGCAAAGTTTTGCTGAAGTTCATTCTTTTCATTCTGAGTTTCAAAAGTCACATTACCTCAGAAGAAATAAATGATAATAGAGGTGGAAAAAAGGAAAACCGTGAATGGAGTTCTGTCTGCATCTGCCACATGTGAGCTATTTCTATTTCACTTCTACTGCTGTGCCCCTTGGGGAAATAAAAACAATACATAATGAAGAGAGACCTCTAAGGATTAGAGATAACTAGAACTCATTGATTTCTGTTGAACACATCTAAAAACTGGCCATACCCAAATTGTTTCCTCTTGCTTGAGACAAATATCGAATATATTTGTCATAAGACATCAGGTCTCATTTTCTACATTTCTGCTTTGCAGCAATATGCATAGTGTGGTAGAAGGGTACAACACTGGAAGCCAGGACACCTGCATGCTAAGCTGGTCTCTATTAATAGTTATGTAACCTTAAGCAAATCCTATACACACAGAACTCCAACTTCCTCAGCTGTAGAATGAGAATGATACTTGTTTTGCCTTTGTTGTGGGCCTTTGCAGAATTCAAATACAGTTAGATACGCTAAAATTTTACCCTAAAATATATAGTAAGATATCATTTTAAAGTATTTATAAGAGGCTGTTAAATGTGCTGATTCATATTTATTGTATCAATTCTCAATTTTGAAAGAATTAGAACAAAATATGGCTACAGTTAAATTCTATTGCATATCAATAATCATGTTGCTTATTCATTCCTACATCTAAGCTTTTGTCTGTGTTTTCATTTTGACTCACATATGTACCCATGCATGCCATATAGATATGCCACAAAACGTTCAGTCACCTGCAAACTCACAATGAATGTACTGTCCTTTCATGAATTATGTCTTTATAGCCTATACCATACAACTCACTTCTTACTATTTTTCCCAGTTTTTTCCATATGTGTTAGCATTTTCTCCCAAAGGGAAGTACTCCATGTAGAATTATCAATTCCTTGAGGTTACAAATTGCATCATTACATGGAGGTATCTAATATTTAATGAACTATATATATTATACTCTGGTTTAGGGGTTCTTATTTTGTTTTGTTTGTTTTGGGGGGGTTGTTTGTTCATTTGTTTGTTTGTTGGCCAGACAGGACCATATTGGGGGCTGTGCACATGCATACTCACAGCATCACATGACAATGGCACAGTTACTCGGGACATCAAAGTGGCCTCTGCCATCAAAGTAGGGCCCAGAGGCAGTGAGTTGCAGGCTCCTCCCATGCAGCCTAAACCCTACTGGGTCCTTCCTCTGGGGCGGAAGGGAGGGGGCTGCTGGGGTTAGTCTCGGGCCTGGCAGGAGGTGAGCAGGCGGTTTGGTCTAGCAGACCAGGCTGGGCAGAGGCCACCTCACTCCAGGGACTGCAGCATCAGCAGCTACTTCAACACCTTTCGTCTGGCTGGTTTCTTGGATTTCACCTGCCAGAAACATCTCATCTACCATTGTGTAAACCTTCTAGAAGTTAAACACCAGGTCCAGTTCACAGACATTGTGAAAATATTCATTTAACATTTCCACAAAGTTGTGTATGGCCTTGAGATAGGCCAGACTTTTGTTCTTGATGTCCACACAGATGCAGAAGTAGAGGACAGCATAGCGTCAATAGATGATCGTGAAGTTCCAGAACTCCAAAAAGCTGGTGCGCTCCGTATCCCTAATGGTGACCATGGCGTGTACCTCCTCAATCAGCTTCTGTTTCTCATCTTCATCAAACTGCATGTACCACTTGGCCTGGCGCGTTTTACCCGCCCAGTTCTGGATGAGAATGAAGCAGATCATGGCGACTCCTGTCACTATACTCTGTTTTAAACGCTTTAGCTTCATAAATACATTAATACATATGCCCTTTAGAGTAAGTATCATTACCATCCTCATTTTGCCAGCAAGCTTCAGAACCAAGGTTCAATTCAAGGCATTCTGTTGCCAGAATCTATGTTCTTAATTTGCTAGGTATCTGTGCCACCATTTTCAGGTACAAAGTTTCAGGTATACATGATAAATAGGCAGACATGACAAATCTCTAGGAGGTATTTACTATACATAATTATGCCTTCCATTAACAATATTGCTGTGCCTTTAATTTTCGTAATAGGACAGGTATATTATGCCCTTACCACAAACAGTTGAGAGATAAATGATAGACAAATAGAGATAGATGATGATGATGATGATGATGATGAATAGATGATACATTGAAGTATATGTTTAAATATATAAATTATATGAACACATGCCTGTGATTTAGTCAGAAGAATGTCATGAGAATATTATAGATTCACTTAAATATTGAAATTAGGAAATTCATATTTGCAATTCCTAATGGCAAAATAATAATAGCCTATAGCGTTAGCATTCCACGGTCTTCACATACATCCCTTTGGTCACCAGCAGCCCTGTCAAATCTCATAAGCTAGCTAGATTAGCTCTCATTATACGCTTAACTTTTTACTTCATTTATCAAGTATCGCTTCTGTATCTGTAAAAACATTTCTGATCTTAATCAAATGTTCTGTATTTCAGTTTTCAGAATAAACATAATTGTTTTTGTGTGTTCTTCTTAGACTGTAAGCTTGTTTTCTTGGCTATACAGTCTCCTGGTTTGCAGGAAAGTAAAATGATTATGCAATTATATTTTAATTGGCCTTTAAAAATAATCAAATGTATCTTTCAATAACTTTCTCTTACTAAAACATCAGTGACTCCAACTGTGGAAAATATACATGCTTGAAAGGTGAGATTAGTATCACAGCAATATAAACTCAAGGGATACGTTCCAGTAAGCATCATCACACTAGACAGTCAGAAAATATTCTATTCTATTCATGTGTACAACCTGGGTTCAATTGGCTTTGCCTGATACAAAGATAGAAAGGTTACTCTAGATAAAAACAAAAGACAAACTGTTTGCTCATTGTTTCACTTTTCTCTGCATTATACATAGTCCCTTTATATAATTCCTTACATCATCACTGCTAACTCATAAGGATATATTTCTATCATAAATAACAAAAGCATGACCTAAATTTTTTATTAAACAGATTTATGTAAAATATCTTCTCAAGATACATTTAATGGGGAAGTGGATTCAGGCTCCCACGTCTAACCAATAAGCTATCTGCAAGTGAAACCCACTGGCAAAGGAAAAATCATTTTTTCCAATGGGGTCTCACTTCCTATATTACCAACTATTTCCCATGTCTAGGAGTAATTGA